TATTTATTTCAGAACCCCCTTCCCCTCCCCCATTTCTGAAGAAGGGTCTAGACCCGAAACATCAGCTTTCCTGCTCCTCTGATGCTGCTTGGCCTGCTGTGTTCATCCAGCTCCACAGTGTAGTATCTAGATATTGCTACTAGACTTTTTTTTTCAAAACCTGTGAATACATAAAGATACAGTAAAAAGGAAAAACCAAAGACCGGTCAGAAAATCTTAGAAAATGAAGTGCCAAGTTTAACTATGTAAATGTTTATATTTTCACTGAACACTTGCCAGGCTAATTTCAATGCTATGGCAAGAGACACTGTACCTTCATTTTACGAGAATCAAATGATCTTAGTTTACTTGTTGGAATGGATTCTAAATCCATGTTGATACTAATCAATTAAAGGGAAGTCTGAAAATGTTTGGCTAATGTTGAGCTATGAAAGCAGCTATCCAGAAAGTTAAATATTCTGATTTCCAGCGTCCGTTGTATTTTTGGTTATTTTTTGAGAAGTTAGTCTCAGTTGATTTCAAAAATGAAGTCCAATTTGTTCAGAACTTTCCTGTTTATTCCGTAATATTTGAGTAGACCAATGCATGTATATGTTATTGTCAATAAACTAAATGTAGACTTATCTTGTAGCTGGTGCAGAAAATAGCATTCTCAGGGTGGCTATGTGCACAGTTCGTGTATAAGCTTTGTTTGGTGCATGACTGGAAGAGGTGATGAGTTACCTGTTGTAACTCGAGCACTTATTTGTACACAAGACTAAGCTTCAAAACTGGAAGAAAGAGTATCTGACTGGGTGTAATTGTGAAGCATTTATTTCCATACCAGTCTTGGAGGTAAAAGACGTTACAGGGATATAAAGTGTTAATGGAAATTTATTGCATTACAGACCCATTCCAGTTGGGTGCCATTATGATCCCTGCATGTGTCTTTTTGGAGAGCTGTTTTGTAGAAATACGAACCTGTTTAGCCTCTTGAGAGCTACCCCAATTCACACCATCACTTTATTTGTTAAAGTCAAGTTCAGCACTGATACCGGGGAGCATTTCTTCACATTTTGTATTGATGTCACTTTGTCATTTTATGTTCAGAGTTAACTATTTATTAAATATATTTCTAAGCACTCTGCTCATTTCACTCCTTTCCTAATGTCCAAATTCATCTGACCTTCTCCTGTGACATTACTGCACAGAGGGCCGCTTAGTAAGATGAGAGCCTAGGTGTTGAGTTAGTATATTAGCTTGGATAGAGGATTGGCTAATTAAGTGAAGACAGTTGAGGTAAAACGGGGCATTTTCAGGCTGGTAACCTATAACAAGTGGAGTGCCACCAGGATTAGTGCTGGGACCACAGTTTAATTACGATATATATTAATAACTTGGATAAGGAAAGTATATAGCCAAGTTTGTTGATAATACCAAAATAGGTGGGAAAGCAAGTCGTGAGGATTACACAAGGAGTCTAAAGAGGGATGTAGACAGGTTAAGAGTGGGCAAAGCTGGGTAGATGGAATATAACCTGAGATTTTGCACTTTGGCAGGAAGAGTATACAAATTGAAAATGACTTAAATGGTGACTATACTGCAGCAGATTTGAATGTCCTTGTGCATGACTCTCAAAAAAAGCCAGCGTCCATGTTCATCAGGTAATAGGGAAGTCAAATCGACTGTTGGCCTCTTTGTTTCAAAACAAGGGGAACATGAAAATAGAGAAATCTTATTAAAACCATACAAGGCATCAATCAGTCGATACCTGTCATACTGTCAACAGTTTTGGTCGCCATATCTAGTGAAAGATGTATTGAAAGCAGTCTAGAGAATGTTGACCCAAGTTGGATTTCATTTTATGATGAATGGTTGAGTAGGTTGGACCTGTACTTATTGGAGTTTAGAAGAATGAGCGGTGATCTTATTGAAACAGATTCTTGGGGGTTTGACAGGGTGGATGCGGAGAGATTGTTTTCCCCATTTTATGGCACAGTCTACGACCAGAAGGCACAAGCTCAGAATAAGAGGTTACCATTTAAGACAGATGAAGAGGGTATGTTTTTGAGGATAGCCAATATATGGAATCCTTGAATGCAAAAAATCTACAGACGCTGTGTCTTTAAGAATATTAAAGGAGCTGGACAGACAGAATTTTAATTAGTAAGGGCATTGAGGGTTATGGGGTGGAAAGTGAAGTTGAGGATTATCGGATCAGCTATGATCCTTCATCGACTAGTGGAGCAGCTCCACTGGGCCAAATAGACTACGTCTGCTCCCAAGTCTGTTTTATTACAGATCTTATGGCTTGTCTTTTGTAATAATTACAGGATATAGACGTTAACCTAGTGCCCCGCAGTTTTAGAACTACGTACAATATTTGAAATAGGCCTGACCAGTTTCAACGTAATGCCCAATGCTTGTACACAATAGATATAGCTATATAACTCAGTATTCTATTTCCTTTGTTAACTCATCGTCTGCAATGTCTGGATATGCAAAGTGTCAGGACTGCTATCATTTCTAGATATCTTTCAACTTCACTCTAGCTAGTTAACGTCCATGCATATAACTACACTTATATAGACAGGACTTCTTGCATGGTGGGGTTTCCTGCCCTGCCACAAGAAGAGTCTGTCAGGAAAACATTTGAAAAGGTCAAAATAGACTAAAAGCTACTTGACTCTCCAAAGAGCATCAATTGCTTTGAGGTGGGGCTTCCACTCAATCAAGTGGAAACCCGATCCCAAGAGCCACTGGCTAAACTAAATCCTCCTGGAGTCTTGGACCAAGTGAGTTCAGGGGTCTAATGGTAAGAAGGTGAGATGTGGGAGGGAATGGGAGAGGGATTAATGGTCTTGATGGAGAAGCTGAGGGATTTCCTGGATAGCCTTTCCACTGCTTCCAACCAGCCTGCTGGGATATACCACTCCAGGTCTCTTCCACAGGTCAGGGCTGGGTGGGTTGATATTGAAATTCCAGTTCTGCTGCTTTGCAAATTCT